TGCTTAAACTTCCTAATAATGATAAAACAGCGACCCAGTTCGTGTCGGATTTTGACAGCACAAAGGCCCAGTTTGAAATTTATGAGTCTTGTTAAGCATTGCAAATGTCGTATGAGTTCAAACAAGACCTTGCTCTATTTCTTTGATAGTCACTAAACGCCAGTGGAACTGTTTTTGTTTCTTCACCACCATTCTTTTAACCAGCAGTTGAACACAGGACGCCGTCAGCACACAGAACGGATGACGACAATCCCAGCGCTGGTCAGCTGGACGACCCGAGTAGAGAAACACATGCGAAGGTGCCTGAAAAGTGTTTGCTCTGCGGCAAATCCTTCCATCACCTGTCCGCAGCTAAGAGACACCAGGAGGTGCACGCTGAACATCCCCATACTCAGTGTAGTGTGTGCAAAACGTCGTTCCGGAATGAGCGTTGTTTGCAGGAACACGTAAGGCGACTTCATTGTTCGGTAGACTAAAAGCCTACCAAAACATCCAGTAAACGTGTGCACGAATCAGAGCTAAGAGGAAATCCATGCCCCAAATGCGGAAAGCGCTTTCCGACTTGGAGGATTCTGTCTCAGCATCTGAAATGGTCACAGGGTGAGGAAGCGAGGAGTGTGGGGCATTTTTCTGCCGGAAATCAGATTTGGATCGTCATTTAAGAACGGTGCATGGAAAGCAAGGACACCACGTGTGTGAACGATGCGGGCACCACTACCCTCGATTTGATAATCTCAGGTGAAATGATGCACAAAGGCACACCAATCACCCGGATGACAAACGACTAATTGATGAGAAACCGACAGATTAACTGTCAAAGACACACAATCTGTAGTACCTTTGGACTGCCTGTGTATCTTTCTATTTTAAGCTCATCAAATTTCTATCGTCCAGATTGTCATTTGGTTCATCTCTCTTATTTTGCGTATGTTTGCCAGATGCAGTTCACATAGATTGGAGCCCGATAAGATCCGATGAACTCTGTTCTCGTTTCCTTTTGCGAACAATGTGGAACCCGAGTTGTACAATGGGGTTACGAGCGAAATCACGGGACAAGAATTGCGGGGGTCATGAAATTCATCAATAAAACCCAGTGTTAAATTTACACGGAATTCCGTTTTATTGGTGTCTGAAATGGCACGGGTCCGAAACACCTAAGGGACAAACGTGTGCGCACAACGCGTGGTAGCGCAAATGATACAAAATGGTGCGTGAAAATTTTATCAAAGCTGGTTGGACATGTCAGGGTTCAAAAGTTCGTGATCGCTTGTAATTGAATATGAAGAAGACACATAAATCGGTGTGTTCAGGCAAGCGCAGGGTTTGACAGGGAGAAATCGGGAACACTCAGTAAGAAAACTAGTCTTCTTCGTGCTAACTGAGAATAGGCTTTGATCTTAGATTGAAGAATGCAACAGAACGTCAATATTCGATTGAATCAGCCAGAACATCCACCTTCCGATCAACACAATAGACCCTCCATCATCTGGCGGTGACTTAGCGCTAATTTTTCCATACATGGTCTACCTACCCTGTCAAGCAGGTTCGGTCAGTGGACAAAAACTTGGGGACTTCCCCTCGTTTGTCTGAAATCAATCACCAATTAGGCTCCCAGAATAAAATATTGGACCCATCGTTCATGCCGCTAATCTTCTTTCAGCCAACGTAATCGCATCACGTGGTCACGTGTTGATGGGCTGCTCGACTGAAGCGTCCAGTCTTGTGAATGATTGCATTGTTCTTCACTGAACATCAAATATTTGTATGGGCCGTGTGACAAGCCTTCAAAAGTGAGGTTCAGTAATGTGATTGATTTCATTCTCCCTTACCATTTACTGACTACTGATACGGTGTTATGTTAGCCATTGTCCACGAAACAATGGGCACTGATGTGCAAGCCCGATCCTGCGCATGTCCATACATGTTGTGGGGATTGTTTCTGATGGAATAGAGTGTCTTACGAAGCCGCAAGTAATGTCGACCACTTTAGAAATACATGAGAAATATTTAACGCTCGTACAAAGTGTCCAAAATTTACGAATTGCGGAACTGCTAGGCTTTGAATTCAAGACTGTTTCATGTGAGTGGAATGGCTTCAAGCCACCAGATATGCGTGCTTCGCAGTTCTGAAAGTTGTGGTAATCATTAATTTTGCAAAGATATTTTGCTCGAGAATGTGATGGCTACACCTGCAGGTTTGATGACAACGGATAAAAGTATCTGATTGTCTTGTTGCTGTTCCCGTTAATAACACAAGGGGAGTTTCCTCCTTGCGCGGCGCACTTTGCTGTTTCTGTCCGTATAAATTTGGCGCTCAACAGCAACTGCTCAGCAGCTTCATCGCGTCCTACTCCTCGATATTCTAGATAACAGTTTCTAAATGTCTTCTTATTACCGTGAACCCCAGTCTGGATAGCCGCTTGATCGCCTGGTGCGTCGGCCAAACCAGATATGTCAGTGAACGTTGAAGCCAGCTGCCCTGTTGATCACTGTCGCGTACAAGCGGTCAAAATACATACTAAGAGTGCAACTCATTTGTCATGGTCGAGTGGAGAACAACCAATGAAATCTGTCTCAACGAAAACCAGTTATTCCACGGGCACTTGTTTAATCCCGTTACTTTTGGAGCTGGTTCTCCCAACAAATTCAAACACCAGTTATGCTGGTTCCCAGTAGATCTGATCCATTATAAAATGCAAAATTCACGTTCGAGTGTCAAGCTTGCCTGGCTGGATGTGCTGTCATTTAGTTCCTCCTAATGTGTTGCGATTCTCGTGACAATGAGTAGTAGTATGTCAGCTAATCCTTGAAGAACCACCCGTGCAGCAATAGCTTCTGTGTTGCGCGCAGTTTCCTCAACCATTTCGGTGTGCAACTGGCCTGAAAAGCTCAACAACCGGTTAAAGTATAATAAGTAAAATGTTCTGATATTTTTCTGATATTTTCTGATACTGACTGTCCCGCAAGCTCCAAGATATCCAAGGTATGTAACTAGGAGACTCCTTCCTATGAATGTCCAGTTCTGCGTCGCGCGTATTATTGACTATAGTTATTGCCTCATAACAAAGAAAATACATGTTTGATTAGCTTTTCTTCCGGTATATTATAAAATGAGGTATAAATATTAATATGTTTACATTTTTTGGGAAATTTCAAAACTAAAACCGGCAATAAACTTTACTGCGGTCAATCAGGACACCAAACTACGCGCTCAAATATACTGCCGTGAATGTTAACTCCTGTCATCAATAGTTCACAGTACCCAAGCAAAAATGCACATGTTTTTTTCGATAAACTGAAATCTTTAACAAACAGGGAACAATAGGGTGTCTTTATCTTATGTGAACGCACATATTCAAGTGTCCATTTTGTCATGATCACAGTCGCTGAACTATTGACCATCTGTTCACTTCAAACCGCTGGAGAAAAGAGGTAACTTCAGAGTGCTCAACCGGTGAGCACATAGGAGAGTTG